TCCTTGAGTTGATGTCTATTGACCTTGAAAATGTTACCGATGACTTCATTCTTAATTTCAATTGCACCATGGGAAAACACATTAGTAACAACAAAAGGACCATCCCATCTAGATCTAAGTTTATCGGCTCTAAGTTTTAGGCGAGAATTGAACAAAAACACTTGTTGGCCCACTTTGAACTCTTTTCTCAAAATATGTCTATCATGAAAGCGTTTGACTTTTTCCTTGTATATTTTTGAGTTCTCATAGGCTTCCAAATGAAGCTCCTCAAGTTTTTTTAATTGAAGCTTCCTTTCCATACCTGCTTGTTCAAACTCCAAGTTACAATGTCTTACCACCTAATATGCTCTATGCTCAATCTCAACAGGTAGATGACATGCTTTACCAAACACAATCCTGTAAGGAGACATCCTAATCGATGTCCAGTAAGCTGTCCTATGAGCCCAAAGAGCATCCTCTAAAAATTTGCTCCAATCTTTTCTATTGGGGTGTACTATCTTCTGCAAAATCTGCTTGATTTTCCTGTTAAAAACCTTGGCCTGCCTATTAGTTTGGGGATGATAAGCTGTAGATACTCGATGCACAACCCCATACTTATGAAATAAAGCCTGCATGCTTCTATTGCAGAAATGGCTTCCCCTATCACTGATAATGGCTTTAGGCACACCAAACCTGCAAAAAATGTTAGATCTAACAAAATCCACAACAACTTTAGAATCATTAGTTTTGGTGGCCTTAGCCTCCACCCATTTGGAAACATAATCTACAGCTAGTAAAATAAATGTGTAACCAAAAGATATAGGAAATAGACCCATAAAATCAATACCCCAAACATAAAAAATCTCACAGAAAATGATCGGCTGCTGGGGCATCTCATGTCTCTGTGTAATGGCCATCCCTTCTCTCTCACACTGCTCACAAGTGCTGGAGAATTGATGTGCATCTCTGAAAATGGTAGGCCAGTAAAACCCACTCTCCAACAACTTCCTAGCTGTCCTATATGATCCATAATGTCCTCCAACAGGTGAACCATGACAAAATTGAAGCACAGAATGGATCTCCTGATCTGGAATGCACCTTCGAATCACTTGGTTGCTGCAAAATCTCCAAAGATAAGGGTCATCCCAAACATAATATTTAGCCTCACTTTTTAGTTTGGCTATTGATAGCATGCATTATTTGTGCACATTTTCAATCCTTTAGAGTGTGTAAATTACCTTTCATGTTCCCTTATTTCACAAATTATGGCATTTCCTAGTTAATTGGATGATAGGAACTCAATTTCAATTAATGTCTAAATTCTATTTTTAGACCTACACTCACTGTTTCGATCGTAACTTTTTCCATAGATGTCCGTTTGGTCTGATTCCAGTTGCATTGGATTACTCATTTTTGGAGCTATAAAATTAATATGCAGATCGTCCAAATTGAAGCTGTTTTCTATTTTCTATGAATTTTTGAAGTTAGGAAAATTGTGCAAGAATTTTTGTATTCGAATTTTGTTCATGTAATTTCATTTCATTTGTATTAACATTTCATCAGCTTGTAATTTGGGCTGTTTAATCACACTTGTGGGCCCTTCCTTTAAGTGTTGGATCTGATCATAAGTGGTGCCTATTAATATGTTAGAGGCTCCACTTTGCAAACGTTTTTATTTTTTTTTTACACATTTTTTTAAATTCGATTTTGGCTCCTAAAATTCTCTCTCGAATTTTCTCTCTTCTCTTGGTGTGACTTTTCATTTTTTTCTTTCTTCTTCTCTCTTCTTGACTTGGCTGAGCATTGGATTCAATGGAAGGCTAGGCTTCTTGGATTGATACACAAGGAATAGGGAATTGTAAGGAAGATTCAGAGTGGCTCCAAGTTTGAATTCTCTTTTCTCCTCTTCTCTTTCATTTTTTTCAAGATATTGATAATGTTTGGGGATAGGAATTGAATTGAATTGCGATTGAAGTTTGATTCATGAAATTGAATTAGATTGATAGATCTATTAGTCAAATTCGTAATCTAGCTTGTTAGCAAATTCGATTGAATTAGTTAATGGATTAGATGTTCAAACTAGGGAAACAATGAAGGATGTTGTTTGCATGAACCTATGACTTGTGGATCAATTAATTCTCATTTGATTTCTCTTTTATTCCATAATTTTATGCGTTTGATCAGATTATTCTTAAACTTTCAAAATTCCCTAATCTTTTGTTTCATTTTAACAATTCGGCAAAGAAGAATTAGATACAAACGTGTCCTCGAGAATTCGACCTTGGTTGACATTATTCTACAAATAATTGCGAAAACCTTGTGCATTTGATAAGTGTTCGATAAAACTATATCAAATTTAACGCCGTTGTCGGGGACACGTTGTAGCTTTTGATTCATTTTCGAGTTTTTAGTTATGTAGCATTTCCGTTCTGTGTGTTGTATCGATTTTGATAGTTTCTGTGTTCTGTGTTCAAGTGTTCTTCATTCTGTGAGAATTATATTCTGTATTTGTGATGCATTGATTTGCATTTGATTTGGTTGATTCGTGTTTTTGAGTGTGTGACTAAATCCAATAGCATTTTGTGTATGTTGTATTGTATGCATGCTGAAAACAGAAATTAGAAAAAAAAAAAAAGGAGTAATAGGAACCAAAAACAGAGGAGTAGTAGAAATTGTGTTTGCCTTGCTGAATTGCACTATTCATACACTATTCATCAGATTTTGAAAAATCCCAAAAAAATAGTAAATGGTCGAATTTTGACCTGAATTTTTGTGTCCACATTACATTTAGTGTATATTAGTGTGTAGAGTTGGTAGATTTGAAAAAGCTTTTGTACACAAGGAGATACATCTTGGTGACCAAGAAAATTTTTGTGAAACTTCAAAGTGGCATAACTTTTGCTAGAAAACTCCAAATTGAGCATATTGCATATGCATTTGGGGTAGAAAAAAATTTCCTATTCAATGCAACCCCCCGAGGCAATTGAGGCTGCCCAGAATTTCAAAAATCGCCCGTTTTATAAAAGTTTTATATTTTTTTAGTGTTTATTGACCTATTTTTCTTGATTTTAGGCATCCAGTTGACCTAGTTGCCGTGCTAAAAAAAATATGAAATTTTTTGTGGTGTCATCTTACATAAAAAATAGATTTATCATCAAGTTAGATTTCAATTTTCCCACCTCTGCTTGGTACTTGCTTTGTAAAGTGGCATAACTTTGACATTATTCATGCATTGTGTGCTTGCTGTTTTTGATGTTTGTGATCTTGTATGACTAGGTCCAGGTCTGAGCATTTGTTTGACATTGATCCTGAGATAGATAGGACATATCATAGACTCCAGAGAGGTCAAAGTAGTGTGCATCCTAGTAGTAGTGATAGGAGTCATAGTAGAGAGCATTGTAGACTTGATTTGAGCAGTGATTCTTATTTTAGTGATTCTAAATTTGGCACTTCTATTTCTGATACATTGTCCACTCATTCTGATCAACATAAGACTACTTTCACATGTCCTTTTGGCACCTTTGCATATAGACGTATGCCTTTTGGACTTTGTAATGCACCCGGTACTTTTCAACGATGTATGATGAGAATTTTTGCAGATTTCTTAGAGGATTCCCTTGAGGTTTTTATGGATGATTTTACTATTTTTGGGTCTTCATATGATTCTTGCTTAGATAGCTTGTCTAGAGTTTTAGATAGGTGCATTGAGTCCAACTTGGTTTTGAATTATGAAAAGTATCATTTTATGGTGAATGAGGGGACTGTATTGGGGCATGTGATTTCACATAGGGGCATTAAGACAGATAGAGCTAAGATTGATGTGATTGTTTCTTTACCTTACCCCACATGTGTGCGAGAATTACGCTCTTTTCTAGGTCATGCAGGTTTTTATAGGCGTTTTATTAGAGATTTTAGCAAGATTGCATCTCCATTATCCACTCTTTTGCAAAAGGATTCTGACTTTGTCTTTGAGCAGGTTTGTAGGGATGCCTTTGATGAGTTGAAGAGAAGCCTCACTTCCACACCTATCATTCAACCACCTAGATGGGAAATTCCATTTGAACTCATATGTGATGCCTCAAATTTTGCAGTAGGTGCTGTGCTTGGCCAAAGAGTGGAGAAGCAACCTCATGTCATAGCTTATGCTTCTCGTACCTTGGACAGAGCACAAGCGAATTACACTACCACGGAGAAAGAGCTTTTAGCCATTGTTTTTGCTTTAGATAAATTTCGTTCATATTTGCTAGGCTCTAAAGTGATTGTATTCTCTGATCATGCAGCTTTGAGATACCTGCTTAAGAAGTCTGATTCTAAACCTAGATTGATTCGTTGGATGCTTCTTTTGCAGGAATTTGATATTGAGATTAGAGATAGGAGCGGGGTTGAGAACTTAGTGGCGGATCACTTGAGCAGAATTCAGCAGCCACTTGAGGATCTTCCCATTCGTGATACCTTTCCGGATGAGCAACTTTTGCACATTAGAGGGCATGATCCTTGGTATGCAGATTTGGTGAATTATCTTGTTTCCAAGGAGATTCCTTCCTACTTTTCTAGAGCTCAAGTTGCCAAGTTGAAGAGTGATTCCAAATATTACATTTGGGATGATCCATACCTATGGAAGATGTGTAGTGACAAGATCCTAAGAAGATGTGTGCCTGATGTGACGCCTAAAAATAACAGGATTTTTTTTTTTTTTTGAAACAGGAGAAGCGGAAGGATAACACATTCTTTGAATTCACCTCTAGTACATCACATTTCTGTTTAGGGATTTGTGGTCTCAACGTACAATATCAAAACTAAGTAAAACAACAACCACAACAATAATGCTCCATCATAACTGAATAACCTCATGCAATGGATAGGGAAATATTTAGTGATAATCTCAGAGTACTACACCTTGATAAGGTAAAATGACATAATTAAAATGCACAAAATCAACATAGTTCAGAGATACATGGAATGAAACAGACTGACTCCCTAAGAGCAGTTCCCTAAAAACAACAACAAACAAACTATCCCAATCAGTCGAGAGGAGAATAATCCTCAATGGGATCGGACTCCTCAGAAGATGTCGGGGAAGCAGAGCTAGAAGAAGCAGCGTCCTCTGTGTCCTCTACAATCCATCCAGTAGTGCGAGGTGGTGAATGAACTGTGGTAAAGGGCGAATAAGTGTTTAGGTAGGTAGGGAGCATATGGGGCAGTACATCATCATTCCTCACTAAGGGTTCTGCCATATATGTATCTCTCTCAGTGGTCACAGGGGGTGGAGTAGGTTCCTCAGTAGGGAATGGTACAGGCGTAGGTACTGGTCTAGAACTGGGAGTACGGGGATCAACAGACATGGGAGAAGGAGTAGCTATAAGTGCAGGATACGGTAGGTGGGAGTCTCCAGGTGGGGTGGAGAAAACAAGCTCGATGGGGGTGTCAACCATAAAGTGGGTGGTCCACGAGAGTCCGACATCTTGTCCATGAATCACCCGTGCCATTCCATGGAAGATGCTTTGCTGTGCTGCCGCGTCGAACACCCAAACGTCCTCCTCAGATGGCAGGATCCATACCTTCACTCGGAAGCTGGTCATCTGTACAATACATATACAAAAGTACAACAACACACACAAACAGGGGTGAGTTCTCCAAACACAAGCAAACATCCAGTAGCCGTACCCCAAGGAAGGTGGCTTTTCACACCATCACTCAAGTCACATTATTATCCAATCTCAGAACAAACATCAATACAATATAGGTCGGTTCATACTTCTCACAGACAATTCCTAGGTTCATCAAACTAATAATGCTCATGATGCATGAATGCAAGTTTCGTCTCTCACTATCCATCCCTCAAATTTTCGTGTTAATGCACATGGTATGCATGGGGATCCCTTACTCTACTGCCAGCGACTTGCCCAGCATTTAGTGTAGAGTTCACAATTTCATATCCAAGTCGTATGGCGATCGGAGGACTCCATTCCCTGCATCACAATCGCACAGAAAAGAATTTACATCATTATTCAAAAACACCCAAACTGGTGCTGGCCCCAAACTGGGTCTCTTCGGGAATGGACCTCAACGACCCTAGGATGTGGAGTTCTTGTCGGGCTTGGCTAAGGCTTGCAAGTAGGGTCACGACCCGGCCACAGAGAGCTCTGTTGCACCATCTAGGTCGACTGTTCCCCCTTTCGCCACTCCCGTAGGTCTACTCGGGACCGAACCTCTAATACCTACAGCTGTGCCTCTGTTATGCCATCAAGTCGTTCCAAAGAAATGTTATGATGCATGGAGTATGATTCTCCTTTCTCTCCTCAACGTTTTCTCAATCTTGGGTCATATGGAATTCAAGCACAGAAACAAAGCCCTCACAAGGCCTGCTCAATCACTATTCACTTTCTCATCTAGCATAAATTTGTTAAACAATAAGGTTTAGGAATCACACACAAACTTCCAATCCCACCAATGCACATCCACTATTTCCCAACACATAATTCTCAATGATTTTGACACAACCCTCTCAGATTTTCCCACCCAAATCCTATTACATTAACTTACTATATTAACACTACTCAATTTATAATTTCCATTATTATTAACCATACTACCTCCTACTTTAAATATGACTTATCTCCACTTTTCTCTATCTATCTGGTTTTTCCATTTAGTTATTTTCTAATTACGTGTATTGATTCCCGACTACCTATTTAATTCAAGGTTACTTAGTTTCGTTCTAATTCTTTTTAGGTTCATTAATATTAGTCCTCACGCGATAGGTTCCATTAAGCTAATAGTGAGATCTTTTCTAAGGATGACTTTTATTGATTAACTACTATATTCAGTCCCTTAATTACCATCTCCATACCTTTATTTACTATCCTTTTAGTTTAGGTAAACTTTCCATCAAAAAGGGCTGCGCTTGATTCTCTCCTTTTATTCCTTGTATAATGTAATGAACATGATGCATGATTCATCTTAGTGCTCATGGATTCAAGTGCAAACAGCAAACACACCTTATCATTATGCAGTCCTTATCACCCATATTTCATCAAAATTATCACAATTTTAAGTACAACTTTTAGGATTTCTCATCATCAAAACCGAGAATGAATAGTTCTCACTTTCTTGTCCACCACAAATTTCCAAAACACCACATGCATAAAGCTTTTCAAACCAAGTGAACACATCCATCACAATCAATTCAATCATCCATCATCCAAACTAACAAGCAACCATTCTCATGCAAATTGCACAAAGTCCAACACGGTTTTCAATTTCTAAGTGTAGTTCAATATTCTAGGCTTTTTCCATGCAAGATCAAATTTGTCCAGCTTTTCCACTAGATTTTTATCAAATTAAAAATTATGTAACATAAAGGAAACTAACATGCAATGACATAGTTTCATCGTCCAAGTGGAAGGGCAACATTTCCAAGTGACATTCAAATTTCTAAGGGAAAACCGAAACACTTAGGGGCTGAAATCAACATGCAATGGCTTCCATTTCACATGCAATCCAAGGTTTATTAATTACAAGGGTCAATCAACATTTTAAACAAAGAATCCAGCCAAACAAAGGTGAAACCGAGGCATGCACAAAGAGATCCAAAGCATTTCATGGTTAAAAATTAACATGCAAGTGAAAGAATATGTTGATCAAGTTCACGGTTCATGGTTTCAAGAAGGAAATGTCATTAATTCAAAGGTTCCACCAAGGGAACATATAAACCGAGACATGCACAAGGGAAGATCCACATCCACACATCAAAGTTTCAAGCTTTTTAGGAATTAAAGTTGATTAAAAGTGAAATCAAACTCTTTAGGAAGTAACCGAGACATGCAAACAAGGAAATCCATACTCTTTTTGGATAAAACTTAACATGTAAGTTCAGATTTGAAGTTCTTCCAACATGCAGTCCAACACACACTATTTTTTTTCAAGGAAAAATGTGTAAAAACAGCCAAGAGATGGACATGCAAACACATCAATTGTGAGAACTCCCCCTTGCCTTGATTGTGACGAAAATTTAGGAGCAAAAGGAGTTGATCTTGGCTGGTTCTTCAAAGGAGAGTTGCTGGACCGAGAGGATGAGTTTCAAACTTCAATCTTTCTCCTCTTGGTTAGCTTGTCTTCCTCGGTTCTTTGAAGAGAAAAAAGGGGAAAAGCTTCAAATGGTTAGGATCAAGTGAAAAAGGAAGCTTTTTAGGAGTTTTTGGTGTTATGCTTCCATGGATCTTCAAATCAAAGAAGGAAAAAGGATGAGAAAGCTTACCTCTTTGAAGGAATGGTCACGGTTTTGAAGAATCAAGCAAGAGAATGCAAAAGTGAAAGCTTAGAGCTCCTTGGCTTGTCTTGGAAGGTTGAGAGGATGAGAATTTTTTGAGAGATTTAGGGAGGGAGGGTCTCAGTTTCTTTGAAGAAATAGAGAGAATAGGAACTTGAAAAGATTTTTGAGAGGAAGGGTGGAGGGCTCACAGTTTTTGAGTGAAAAAAGAGAGAAAATGAGGTGGTTTGGTCTATTTATATGGAGTGTTTAATTTCCTTTTGCCAATTAGAACTTAATGCTCACGGTTTGGGCTTTGTGGGGCAATATTCAAATGCAAAACTGCACCAAATTAATTTGAAGCAATTTGGAAGTGGAATTTGGTGAAAAACTTTAATAATAAGGGTGTCACGATTTTTTGTGCATGAATAGTGAATTCTTTTGTAAACTTGTAAGTTAAGCAATCACATTTTGGCAAGCAAAATGCATGGAGGAGTGTGGAGGCTACATGCACACGGTTTGGAGTAAAACATTCCAAGAATTGCGTAAAATTCCAAAGGCTAGATTCTAGGTAGCAATTGCATGCAATGTGATTGGCCGACGAGGAATTTGATGTGATGAGATTGACTTTCGAAGGGACATTTGACATGGTGCAGATTTCAAGAAAAGCATTTAATTGGAGTAATCATGATGCCGGCCTTTTAGAAGGCACGATTAGAAAGTTCCGGAATAATTTTGTCTACTAATCGGGAGGCAAGAATCTTTTGCATGAATTTCTAGTGGTCGATACTAGATTTGGAAATCTTTACAATAATAATTTCTATATTTTGTGAGATTCCGTGTAGAATTTTAACGGCTAAGGAATGATTACAAAATCTTAGCAATGATTACAAAATCTCACGTTTTTCAAGGCGAATACCTTTGATTTGACAATTTAAATAAGATAAAATTTTAACTTTCGGGATAAAATTATCAGGGGCAGTGTGGACAGTACAGTTGAACATACTCAAGAAAATCCTTGGACGATATTGAAACTATATGTTTGCATGCAGTTACCTTAAAATACCGAACTTAGAAATAATTCAATATTCTTATCAAAATAAAATAAAATAATTCAATTTAACCTCCATCTAATTATTCCGATACTAAAGAAGCAGAGTAAGCAAGCAAGTACGATTCAACGGTCGCTAGCTGAATCAGGAGAATCGGGGCGTTACACCTGAAATTGAGTTCCAATTCGTGCTTCGATTTTGCCATACCCTTGCTTGTGGTGGACACTTTGGACCTCAACGTACAGCTCAAAAAATCTTAGATTTTGGATTGTTTTGGCCTACTATATTTCGGGATGCACACACTTTTTGTAAGACTTGCGAGCGGTGCCAAAGGACGAGGAATATTTCACATAGGAATGAGGTGCCTCAATTGCCACTTCTTTTCTGTGAGGTGTTTGATGTATGGGGTATTGATTTTATGGGTCCCTTTCCTATTTCATTTGGCTTTGTATATATTTTGTTAGCAGTGGACTATGTCTCCAAGTGGGTGGAGGCAAAGCCCACTCGTACTAATGATGCTCGTGTTGTTGTGGATTTTGTTAGATCACATATTTTCTGCAGGTTTGGATTTCCTAGGGCTTTGATTAGTGACCAAGGATCACACTTTTGCAATCGTACCATGGATGCCTTGCTTCGGAAGTTTGGGGTTATGCATAGAGTTTCCACACTATACCACCCCCAAACTAACGGACAAGCGAAAATCTTCAATCGGGAAATCAAGCAAATTTTGGAGAAGACTGTCCAACCTAATAAGAGGGATTGGAGTTTGCGCTTGGATGATGCTCTTTAGGCTTATAGGACAGCCTACAAAACACCCATAGGGATGTCTCCTTATAGGGTTGTTTTTGGAAAGGCATGTCACCTACCGGTGGAAGTGGAGCATAAGGCATATTGGCCAATCAAGCAATGTAACTTGGATATGGATGCAGCGGGTTCTCATAGGAAGCTTCAATTGCAAGAGTTGGAGGAGATTCTTAGGGAGGCATATGAGAATTCCAACATCTACAAAGAGAGAACCAAAGCATTCCTTGATAAGAGGATAGGTCGGAAAGAGTTTCATATTGATGATAAAGTTCTTTTATATAATTCTAGACTTAAGTTGATGCCCGGTAAGTTGAGATCTAGATGGGATGGACCTTATCTTGTTATTAATGTTTTTCTTTATGGTGTAGTTGACCTTCAAGACATGGGATCCCAAAGGAGCTTCAAAGTTAATGGGCATAGACTTAAAGTTTTTCATGAGGACTTGAAAGAGCATGCATAAGAGGAGGAGGAGTCTACATTTGGATTGGCCATTTACCCTTAATTGATAGGGGAGTTTTTTTTTCAACTCCCTCACTTTTGGATTGTTTGGATTGTCTTTTTTCTTATTGTGCATACATTGAGGACAATGTGGATTTTAAGTGTGGGGGGTGTATCATGTCACCCATTTTGTACATATTTGATTTTTTTTTTCCAGAATTTTATGCGTTTGATCAGATTATTCTTAAACTTTCAAAATTCCCCAATCTTTTGTTTCATTTTAACAATTCGGCAAAGAAGAATTAGATACAAACATGTCCTCGAGAATTCGACCTTGGTTGACATTATTCTACAAATAATTGCAAAAACCTTGTGCATTTGATAAGTGTTCGATAAAGCTATATCAGCTATCTGTGCCATAGACGCATTTGTAGGAAAGACACCTGCAACCAGGTAATTCACAATATCAGCAAACCAAGGAGTAATATCATGTAACTGTATCAACTGCTCCTTAAGAAAATCATCTTTAATCAGAAAGGGATCAACATTCCCCCCTTCAATCCTACTCAACTGATCTGCTACAACATTCTCTGCACCACTCCTATCTCTGATCTCAATATCAGACTCCTGAAGGAGAAGCATCCATTTGATCAATCTTGGTTTAGCATCGGGCTTCTTTAACAGGAATTTCAAAGCTGCATGGTCAGAATATACAATAATCCTAGAGCCTAGCAAATATGAACGAAATTTATCTAAAGCAAATACAATAGCTAGAAGCTCTTTTTCAGTAGTGGTGTAATTAACTTGAGCTGCATCCAATGTGCGAGAAGCATAAGCTATTACATGAGAAAGCCTCCCAACCCGTTGAGCTAGAACAACTCCAAGTGCATAGTTGGATGCGTTGCACATGAGCTCGAAAGGAAGCTCCCAATCAGGTGGCTGAACAATAAGTGTGGTGGTAAGCTGCCGCTTCAGCTCCTGAAAAGCTAGCTGACAAGGCTGATCAAAAACAAACTCTACCTCTTTCTACAGAAGCTTGGACAATGGTAGTGCAATCTTGCTGAAGTCCTGTATAAATCTCTTGCAAAAACCTGCATGTCCAAGGAAGGAACACACTTCTCGCACAGAAGTGGGGTAAGGTAGAGAAGCAATGATATCAATTTTAGCCTTATCAACCTGAATACCCTGACTGGAGACTAAGTGACCCAAGACTATATCCTCTGTGACCAAAAAATGACACATCTTAAAATTTAACAGAAGGTTAGTTTAGATGCACCTATGTAACACCTTAGATAAATTCTCTAAGCATGCATCAAATGAAGAACCATAGACAGTAAAATCATCCATAAACACCTCCATGCAACTCTCCAAAAGGTCAGAAAATATACTCACCATACACCTCTGAAAGGTGCCCGGAGCGTTGCACAAACCAAATGGCATCCTGGTGTAAGCAAATGTGCCAAATGGGCAGGTGAATGTGGTCTTGTGTTGGTCCTCTGGTGCAATATGAACCTGCATGTATCCAGAAAATCCATATAAAAAGTAGTAATGAGATTTACCTGCCAATCTCTCCAAAACCTGATTGATAAATGGAAGAGGGAAATGATCCTTACGAGTAGCCTGGTTAAGTCTTCTGTAATCTACACAAACTCGCCAACTGTTTTGAACTCTGGTTGGAACCAACTCATCATTCTGATTCTTCACCACAGTCATCCCAGTCTTCTTTGGGACCACTTGCACAGGACTAACCCACTTACTGTCAGAAATGGGATAAATAATACATGCTGCCAGTAGCTTTGTGACCTCCTTCTTCACAACATCTAGAATAGTAGGATTGAGTCGTCTTTGTGGCTGTCTCACAGGTCGAAACTCATCCTCCAATAAAATTCGGTTCATACAAATAACAAGACTAATTCCAGGAAGGTCAGCAAGAGTCCAACCAATGGCCTTCCTATGCTGTCTCAAAACCTGCAATAATCTCTCCTCTTGATCAGAGTTGAGATCACGAGCAATAATAACAGGAAGTCGTTGGTTGTCCTCTAAGTAAGCATACTTCAGATGTGCAGGCAAAGGCTTAAGCTCTACTGATGGAGGTGGAGATAGGTCAACTGCTAGTGTTGAAACATCTACTGGTGTAACTATATCTGCTGCACCTGTAACATCAACACTACAAACAACACACATAGATGAATCATCACAAGTACAGGATGGGTTATTGAAATATGCAAAATCAGCAAATAAATCATCTAAATTTTTGCAATCATCAACAAGTAAATCAATAACATCTAAACTGAAAACAGAATGGTTCTCTGTTGGGTGTCTCATTGCTTCAAAATGCTGAAATGCACCAAATTGTCACCAAACTCCATAGAAAGGGTCCCTGAATGCGCATCTATCTTTGTTCGCACGGTCCTAAAAAATGGTCTCCCAAGGATTATTATAGCATTGCTGGGTAGGTCGTCCTCCATCTCTAGAATGTAAAGATCAACAGGAAAAAGGAGGTCCTCAACCTTGACAAGAACATCTTTCACGACACCAAGTGGCTGCACAGTACTTTTGTTGGCTAGCTGGACTACAATTCCTGTAGGAATCAAAGCTCCAATCTGCAATGATCTAAAAATAGATGCAGCCATAACATTAATTGAAGCATCTAAATCCAGCATAACATTTGTAAAAACTTCCTCTCCAATAGTACAAGGAATGGTGAAAGTTCCTGGATCTTTGCACTTCTGTGGTAACTCAGGTGGAATGATCGCCGACACATTCTTATTCTGGAGAAGTGCAAAACCATTTCTCCCCATACTCACTCGCTTATTACCCTTCAGCTTCCTCTTGTTAGTACACAATTCCTTTAGAAACTTTGCATATTTTGGAACTTGTCGGATGGCATCAAGGAGAGGAATATTTACTTCTATTCTGCTGAACATGTCCAGCAACTCATTATCCGACTCTGGTTTTTTTCTTGATGCTACTTGTCTGTTCAGGAAGGGCAGTGGAACATGTTTCTCAGTGGCTGCATCACTATTATTTTTAGAATCTGGTGCTGCAGCTGCAACTGCTGGTAACTCTTTTCCACTTCGCAGTGTAATAGCACTCACATTTCCCTTTGGATTCATGACTGTTTGAGAAGGCAGATTACTGGAACCTTGAGACTGAATCTGACTCAATTGAGTTGCTAGCTGTCCAACCTGAATCTTCAAATCCTGGATAGTTGCTTGCATGTTCTGTTGAAACTGCAGGTTGTTTGTAGCCATCTGTTGCATCATCTCCTGAAATGACGGCTCACTTCTTTGTGTAGGAGGGGGTGGTGGAGGTGGCTGTTGCCTGAATGGAGGCTGATATTTGCCTACAGCAGGTTGAAATGAAGGTTGTTGGCTTTGTTGTTGCTGTTGCTGCTGCTGTTGCCCCCCATTTCAGGTTTGGATGATCTCTCCAACCTGGATTATATGTCTGGGAGTATGGGTTATAATTCTGATGCTGCTGATTTAGAGCTCTATATTGCTGCTGTTGGTTTGTGTAGATTCCAGAAACATTCGCATCTGTCTCTTGCAATGTAGGGCATGAATCCGTAGGGTGCTCAGTGGAAGTACATATGCCACAGACTCTTGCTGGTTGCTCACTTATTGCACTTACTTGTTGTTGACCAATTGCTAAATGCCTCACCATGGTGGTCAACTCGTTGATTTTATTTTCCAGCTTCTGATTTTCCACACCATAAACAACACTAGTACCAGGACCAAGTGCTATCTCATTCACTCCCTTAGCAACTCCTCTGAATCCGAATTGTTGAGTGTTGGCTGCCATGTTTGTAATAAGTTGCCTTGCAGCGTGTGGTGTCTTATCCATCAATGCTCCTCCACTTGCCGCATCTATCATACTTCTGTCCATCAAAGTTAGTCTCGCATAAAAATATTGAATTAGTAATTGCTCACTTATTTGATGGTGGGGATAGGTAGCACACAGCTTGTTGAATCTCTCCCAGTAGTCATACAAAGTCTCCCCATTCAGCTGCCTTATACCACAAATCTCTTTCCTTATTGCTCCAGTTCTGGAGGCAGGGAAGAATTTTTCCAGAAATAACCTCTTCATTTGATTCCATGTAGTGATTGTTGAAGGTAGGAAGTAAAGCCAGTCTTTTGCAACATGCCTTCATCTTGACATGGTCTTCAGGCACTCCCTGAGGTCTCATGGTGGAACACACCACATGAAACTCTTTTAAATGCTTATAAGGATCTTCACCTGCAAGTCCATGAAACTTTGGCAACAAATGGATAAGTCCAGATTTAAGCTCATAGGAAATTGTTTCGTCTTCAGGATATTGGACACACCATGACTGATACACAACATTAGGTGTGGCCAATTCCTTCAAAGTTAGCTCAGGGTTATTAGTCATATTCTCAATTTCAAGTTCAGATTCACTAACAGTAGGATTAACAGTTTCAGAAGAAGCACCAAATATGATGAATCCATATTTTTACTGATATTTTAGCATAATTCTAACACATTTGATAAGAAAAATATATGAAGAAAGCAGAAAAACTCAGAAAAAGAGAAGGAATTGAAGTTTTGTTTAAATTTGAAGTTATCTTAGCAATTATGGAATTTTTGCTTAGAAATTAAGTTTTTAATCTTGTTTTTGAAGGAATAAATTGAGCAAGGATCATGGAAATGGAGGCTTGAAGACAAGGAAGAAGACAGAAGCAAGTCTGGACTCCAAAAATACAAGACCAAGAAAGTGCAGACTGGGCGTGATCACTATTGTCAGTAAAAGTGATCACTCCAGAGTTCAAAGAAGAAGAAAGCTTGGGCGTTATCACTTCTGCTAGGAAAAGTGAGAGATCCTGTGAAGTCTCAGACTCAACATGTTGGGCATTATCACTTTTATCAGTAAAAGTGAGCGTTCCAGAAAGGCAAATATCAGGAAAAACTCTGCGTGATCACTATTATCAGCGAAAGTGAACGTTCCAGAGAGCCTTCAACCTGGCGAGTTGCGCGTAATCACTTTTATTCATAAGAGTGATC